CAAGAAAGGATCAAATTGTGGTTTCTCTCAACAGTTTGCAAGATTTTCTGTTCCAACCTTTATGGGGGAAAGGGGTAAAGATGATCTGGTGATAGTTTGAGTCTTAGAGTCTTTGTTAACAAGTGGCTGTGACTGCTCTCTTTTCAGATATTTAAGTGAGCCATTTTAGAGAGGCAAGTTCGTCACTTGCCCCCTGCTGATTAATGCTTATCATTTAGAGAACCAGAAAGAAAGCACCTCAAATACTGTTTCTTGCTTTTGATCAGCAGCTACTGGTAGGAGTCAAATGGGAAAAAATGATTGTCAAACATGTCATTTTAATGTGCAAGCTCCATTAGATAACTTTTGCTTCTTACTTTCTTTTATAGTAAATGGCTAATTTTGAGTTGACTGTGATAATTGTTTTCTTTTAAAGGACTTTTGCCTCTCTGTCTTTCCCCTGAACCAAAACCACTGATGCTGGAAACAGTTTCCTCTTCCATCCATCCAACAATATCATGCCTTCCTTCACTCTGGGAATTGGCTTCCTGCCCTATCCCAACTACTTAATTTTTTTCTTTACTCTTAAATCTCTTGATTATCTCATTCTTGCTCTAATTTTTTTCTCTTCTTTTTTCTTCTTCCTGCTTTGGTTTGCTTCCTTTCCCACTATTTGCTTCCCTTCTTTCCATAGAGGACATTTGAGATTATCTTTTTTCAATTTGGCAAGTGTCTCCACAGAATGTCTGTGTTCCCTTTCCCTAATCCTTCCCACGCTCATCTCCTGTACTGGTCTCTGAACTGTAGTAATCATTTACATCAGAATGAAATGAGTATTTCACTGGATGCCACCTTACATTCATTTTACATTAAAAAAGTAACTGCACAGTGTGAATCACAGGGAATCATTTGCCATACTCTCCAGTATTTGAAGTCTTGTACTGTTGTTTATTCTCACCTTAGACTCTGTAAGGAACTGTCTTCCTACTGGGGAACAAAATCTACACCTACAGAGTAAAACCCATTGTGTCAATGGAATTTATAAATGCAAATATTGACAGTGGCAGGCTTCAGACCCAAATGGTAATGTAGGATCTGCCTCTTACTTTAGAGGCATGTTTTTGATAGTGGGATATAACTGTTCTCACAAGTTACTTCTGGCTTTCAGTTTTACCCCCGTGCCTTACCAAAACGGGAAGTGTCTTACCATCCCCTTTCCTTCTACTGTGTCCAATCTAGTGAGTGAATGCTGAAACAAACATCTCTGATGTTTGCCACTTGCTTGTTTGCTTTCATTTGATATGTGCAGTTTTAAATGCTATGCTTCCATCTCTGATGAATCTTCCTTGTAAAATATTTTAATCTATCCTTATTTGGAAAAATTTATCTTTGACTTCATGCCAACAACTGCTTTTGTGTTGCAATGATGAGCTGGATTTGGTACTCCGTACCCACTCTTTTTCTCACTGTCTCCCCACAGACATAAGAATTTGCCACTGTAACATGTTCCCAGCCTCTTCTTATTGTCTTTGTTAGCCAAGGAACTTAGTTTTCCTAAATACCACAGAAGCAACTGAGTACTTGAGACTGCTTTTCATATTATCTGCCCCTTGATAGACAAACCAACACAAATTAATAACATCTCCAGTGCTAAATTACTTTTGAAATTAAAATTTGTAACTAACTTGTAGTCTCAACCTGGTCACCTTCAGTTTCCAGTTGTTGCATATGCTGAGACCTTCATTTGTTAGACTATTGAGCCTATTATTAATTTTTTTTTTGCCTATGTATGTTCTTACACAATAAGTTCAATTTTTTTTCTTAACCTCCCTCTGAGCTAGGCAAATTGGATTGCAGAGTCTCTCAGATATCTTCCAATTCCTAACACTGTCATCCTTCTCATGATACTTTTCTGAATAATTTTCATCAATTTTTAAGCATTTTCATTGAAACAAGAGGCAGAGTGGTAGATATTTTGTGGTGGTCACTAACAGTGCTCCTTAGGTAGGTTACACAACATTTTATTGTGTAGAATCTAGTCCAGTTAATTTAAACATCTACACTTTATGCCCTGGAATTTTAGCTGATTAATAAAGCTGTCCTGAAGCAAGCATCCAACAAAGTCCTTACGGAAGAAAAGGCTCCTTTGAGGGTCTCCTGGGAAGACCACTAGGAATTAGAGGCTCAAAAAACCTAGTATCTCCACTACTGTATGGGAAATTTGGGTTTATACTTGAAGACAGTCCATGATTCTCATTGAAACATCTAGGAACAGTTTATGTGCCTGATTTGGTTAGGTGTACTGGATTGCATAATTATTAAGAACCAAGGCACCAAGGTAGTAGATGTTGCCTGAAGTCCAGATCAAACCTATGGTCCACTCTATGCACAGGTACAGCATAACAACATAGCCTTGAAAATGTAGTTAGTTCTCTTCTCTCTGCTTTTAAGAGGTTTTCATTCAAATCCAAGAAAAAAAAAAAAACATGAAAAGGAAAGGCTCCACATCAATATTAATTCTGATTTTTTAAACCACTTCTCCCAGTTCCTCTCAGTTTAGGGTTGCCAAACATGGGAAAGGAAGAGGAGTGGAAAGCTGAGAAATATTCACTATTATGTATTTACAATAATTGGAATCTCCTGTTCTTCTATAGGTTCCTAAGATCAAACTCTTAGTGGGATTTCAGCTTAGAAACTGCCACTGATGTGTTTCATGTTGCAGCTGAATTATACCACAGACCACAATGAAGCCCCATCCATTGTAGCTCTGCCTTATGAAACTGCCCCCTTTGTATAATTTGGCACTATTTGATGTGACTAACCGCCTCTGTCTGCCCGGGAGAGCTGTAGGCCTGAGTCAATATTTAGACGAAGGAGCTGAATCAAACCATGCCGTGTAAGGGAGTTTACTCTGCGGTTCACTGTTAGCTGTGGGTTAAGAACTCAGGCTTCGAAAGAGGCTAATTCAAACCTACTGGGAAAAACCCTGTTCCCAAGGCTGAGGGAGGGGAGGTGACCTGTGGGAGAGAGAAGCTCCCTGAGGACCAAAAGAAATGTTCCTTCCTTGGGTGAGAGACAACCAGACCATCACTCTCTGGCCCCTACATCCAGGCTTAGACCCTGTTCCCCAGATCCTATTACCAACCACATGCATGGATCAATGGATAAGAACGTTCTCACTGTTACAGAGCTATCAATCCTATCCCAAAAGAGCATACTACTGGGCAGCCTTGGAAATTGCCATGGGGGTGGGTCCTGAAATCTTCAGCTACCAAAGGGTCCTGAAATCCTTGCTCCTTTCTCATGAAAACACAGCATCCTGCAGGCAAGAGCCTTGACATGACTGTATCAGGCACAGTCATCCAGTTGTAACATGGGATCCAGAGTCTAAATGCTGCCATTGCAGGGGCTGAAGCAAACTGCCAGGGCAAACACCAGTTATCGAGTCTATTAGGCTGGACTGAACAAACAAAACTTTGGGGAGGATTGAAATGTTTGAAGGAGACTAAAGTATCATTCCCCTGCAGTGTCCAGTATATCTCATTGCACTTTCCCAAGGTTAAGTCCAATATATTTAAGTGAAGCAATGTGAATAGTGTCTTTGGTAAAACCATACTACACAATCATATCAAGAAAGACTAACAACCACTTATGCCCCTTATCCTGTGAAAAGCAGCTATAAAGCCCATCCAGCTCTTGAATCAGGCTGATTGGGACTTTCCATGTTGTAAGCAACAGGTGGCAATGCAGCTTCCCAGGGCTGATCTCAGGCCAGAGGGAAGATCTGAGCATCTCACGTCGTGGAGCATGTCCAAGAACTGGGTTGGCTCCTTGTGCTGAGCAAAGCAGGGTTTAACCTCCACTTTTCTCACACAGGTCATGTTTTGTGTGGAGTTGCTGGCAGGGTAGGCAGGCATTTCCTGAGCACGTCCAGCTGCTTGGAGCAGGGAAATGAGTTCTGCCCAGCCCTGCAGCAATCCTGGCTATCTGAAGGGCTTAGGAACTTATTTCCATGGCTGTGAATTCTGGCAAGTGGAGTGGAGGTGGAAAATTAGCCATGTGATATCAGAGATTGTGATCTTGATATTGTCACAGTGACACAGCTGTGCTAATCTCACCTCATTTTTGGATGTTATGCTAGAAGAACTACTCTTTCCCTTCCCATGACCTTATGGAACTCAACTGGCCTCCTACTTTGAATCTTCCACGCATGACATATTACTGTGTCGTGTCCCCCATTCCACCCTCCCTCCCCCCTCAGGGCATGCTGGAGTAATTATTGTTTCCTGATGCTGTATTTTTGAGTAGTTCATTCCCGATGCAGCTAGAATGAGCAGTATCAATCAATCTCAAAACACAAGGGTTGCAGGAAAATTTTCCATCATCAAATTGCTTCTCAGATCTCTCTAATTTCATTTGTCACTAATCCCAACCTCACACTTTCTGGAAATCTCTGCAGGTGTGTTCTCTTCAGGCAGTTTCCTAGATACATTTGATTTATCATCTACTGCTTTCACCGCAAAAACAAACTTTAGATTTTGAAGGCGAATGGCATTCAGAGGCAAAACCAAACGCTTCTACAGTACAGAGTTTACCATCAAAAGACAGACTCTTTCAGGAAATTGAAGTGACTTACAATTGCAGGAATTACAACAAGGCAAGCAGAAAAGTCTTGTGACAATTAACTCTTGTAAAATAACTGTTTGGACAGGCCTATTTAGTTATGTTGGCAGGAAAGTCAGAGACAAGCTAAGCAAGCTTCACTGCAAAGTACAGAAGCTATTTGCTCACAGCAGGCAGGGCATGTGTACATTTTGAAGTCTGAACTGTATCTCTCCAGTCTCGAAATGCAACATAGACACCCCCCCTCCCTATACCCGCCTCCCCTCCCCCCCCCCAAACCCTCCTGTATCGCTTTAAGGCTCGAATGATTAAGCTAACGTTAACCAGATGGGAGCTTTGATACAGATAGATGAAAGCATAAAAGTGCAGACACTAGAGAGAGAAGGGAGTTACTGTACCTCAGCAAAAGTCACCCAACTTCCAGTAGCTACTGCCTGCTGCTGCCCTCTGATAACAGTGGCTTCTTGCGTGCTGACCGCTGAGCTACCTTCAATGTCAAACTGAAAAATGCTTCCCTCACTTGAGGCTGTGCTGGAGGACAAGCATCTCAAAAAGAATAATATAGGAGAAACGAGGGGCCAGACGGAGATCAAAGCCATTTCCTCCCCTTACATCCAGCAGTGGTCTTCTAGCGTCTCAGTAATTGTTTACCCTCTTCTGCAATCAGCCCCCCTTGGCTTAGTGATGCCTCAGTTATTTTAACTTTCTTTCAGCATTCAGTTTCCAGATGTGGCACTTCAAGGCAGTCTAACCAGACCCCGATTTAAAAGAGGGGAAAAAAAAAAGAAAAAAAAAGGAAAAGAAGGGGAAAAAAAGGAAAAAAAAAGGAAAAGAAGGGAAGAAAAACGCTTTTGCTGCCTCCCTCGTTCACTCTCCGTGCCTGTGGCTCCTCTTTTTCCCCAGAGGCTCCAGCACAATAACATACAGATGGGCAGTGCTTAAGCAGAGAGTGTCAAACAGAGATTGTATTCCAGGAAAGCACCGCTGGCTCCCCAGCCACCTTATCTCCCCCTGTCAGGATACAGACTGACGCTCCGTTCAGTGCTCTGGCTTCCTTCATATGTTCACATCATTCCCTTTTTTACCTTTCGTGTTGAGACCCTCCCACTCAAACTTTGCCGTTCAGAAAGTGAGGTCACTCTTTCCTCCCCCTCTACACTTCCCTCCTACAATTCTCTCCGACCTCTCCACACAGATCATTGACTCTCGTGACTGTTTATTTTTTAACATTTCCAGTTTATTCAGGGGAAGGCAGAAAGGTGCCAAATTTTTTAAAAAAACCTAGCTAGACCAACCTTTCCTTGCGGCATGGGGGAGGGGAAGCTGTGGGCGGGGGTAGGAGGAGGAGGAGGAAGAGGAGGAGGAGGAGGAGGAGGAGGAGGAGGGAGACAGCCTGGCTGTGTCATGGGCTAAGAGGTCTAAGTGATTTCTCTAACATACTTCATTCAGTTCTTTCCATCAAGCCCACCTCTCAGCTTCTCGTTGGCTTGTGAAAAAGAATATCGTTCACTGCGATTTTGGAAAATGACTTCATTCCTCAGACTCATGAACTTTTATTTACAAAGAGCATCTTGTATTCCTTTTTCAAGAGATGCTTTGTGAGGCCCTGGTAACAAGGCTTGCAGTGTGTATATGAAAGTGAGCTGAATATGTTGTTGCCCACAGCTCACTTAATTTTATGGCTACAATCTCAAAAAGACAAGACAGTAACCCTTGCTAGGTTTTGGGATGAAGTCAGGGAATAATTATACTAATGTGCACCACTCCAGACAAGGGGGCAGCAGGCTGTCCCTCAGAGGTCCTGTGTGCAGGGGGTGGTAGCACTCTTGGCCTGTCAGGCTTCATTCTTAAATCTTCATGGAAATCAGCTTATTGGGCTTCATTCTGAGAGTGGATTACTTCTTTTTCCCTTCTTCCATCAGTTTCTTTCTCATTGAAGGTATTATCAACTAAAGAAGCAGCCCATCGAGAATTAAGGGTAAAATTAAGTGTTTTGGTGACCTGTTAACTTCCATATACCTGTAGGCACAGTTTTGGGCCCACAAGTTTTTTACAGAGAGATATAAAGAAGTTCACCATGAATAAACTCTGCCTGATTCAAAACCAGTGTAGACGAACAAGCAAGGACACTCAAGCTCGTGGGACAAAGTATTACCCCGGCAAAGAAGAAAATTGTGTGAAACACAAGGCTCTCAGGTTTGGGACCAAGGTTTGTGGGAGGAAATAAAAGATATTAAGGGTAGTTGCGAGTCTCTTGGTTAGTTGAACCTGATGTGGTGGCAAGAACACTGTCCTCCAGGAGCCTGAGGGTGAGACATCACTGAGAGCTGCCAGGACTTTTCTAATTCTTTCTGATAATGGCAGTCATGGGAATGGCCCGTAACAGGTCTGAAGGTTCAGGAAGTATGAGACCAGGGAGGGCCCAGGCAGGGACTCCATGAGCCTCTGATTAGGCCTCCTGCTGCAGTGACAAGCTTGAGGTGTAAAGATAACATTAAAGCAGGGGCACAAAACAGAACAAAACATCTTGACAATAAGTGACAGAATCACAATTCCCATGGTGGCAATGGAGATTTTAACCACCCAGTGACTTGTGTGGCAAATTACTGGAATATGTGTGAAACAATTTTTTGAATACTCTTTTTTGGAAAAATGAACATCTACTCGAACTTCTCCATCTTCTGCAGGCATTTGGCAGCAGGCTGGCCGGCTTGGTGAGGCATACTTTTAACTGAAGGACTCAGGGGGTGGCATCCAAAGTGCATCCTCTTGCACTCCTCCTGGGAAACCTGCATGCTCAATTACCCCTCTGAAATGCCTGTACACCAACACATGCAGTGTGGGGAATAGACAGGAGGAATTAGAGATCTGTGTGCATTCACGGGGCCATGATCTCACTGCAATTACAGTCATAGCTTGCATGACTGGAACGCTGTCATGGATGTCCATGTGTTTTTAAGAAAGACAGGCCAGCAAGGTGAGGTGGTGGAATTACTCTTTATGTGAGAGAGCAAATAGAATGGATGGAGCTCTGCCTAGGGGTGGATGAAGAACTAATTAAGAGCTTAGGGGTAAGAATTAGGGACAGGCTAACATGGGTGACACTGTTGTGGGTGTTTACTACAGACCACCTGGTCAGGAAGAGGAAGTGGATGAGGCCTTCTACAGCCAGCCAGAATTAGCCTCATGATCACAGGCACTCATTGGGGACTTCAACCACCTTGCTTTCTGCTGGAAAGACAGCACAGCTGGGCACACACAGAGGTTCTTGTACAGCACTGATGATAACCTTTTGACACTGGTGGTGGAGCAGCCAATGAGGAGAGATGTGCTGACAGACCTTGTACCGACAAACAAAGAAGAGATGGTTGGGGATGTGAAGTTGTTTGGGGGCAGCCTTGGCTGCAGTGACCATGAGAAGGTGGAGTTCAGGATCCTGTGTGGAGGAAGCAGGGCAATAAGTAGGATTACAACCCTGGAGTTCAGGAGAGCTAACTCTGGTTTCTTCAAAGATCTACTTGGAGGAACCCCATGTGTTAGGACCGTAGAAGGTAGGGGGGTCCAAGAGAGCTGGTTAATATTTAAACATTACTTTCCCTAAGCTCAAGATCAGTGCATCTCTTTGAAGAAGAAATCAAGCAAAGGGGGCAGAAGACCTGCATGGATCAGCAAGGAGCTTCTGGAAAACTCAAATGAGTAAGGAAGTTTATGGAATGTGGAAAAAGAGACAGGCCACTTGGGAAGAATATAGAAACATTATCAGAGTATGTGTGGATGTGAAGAGGAAGGTTAAGGTCTATTTGTAATTAAATCTGGCAAGAGATATCAAGGATAACAAGAAGGGCTTCTTCAGTAGCAGAGGGAAGGCCAGGGAAAATGTGGGCCCTCTGCTGAATGGGGGGGATGCGCTGGTGATAAGCATATGGAGAAGGGAGAGTTACTGAATGGCTTTTGTGCTTCAGTCTTTACTGCTGAGACCAGTCCTCAGGAATCCCAGAACTTGGAGGCAAGAGAGAAAGTCTGGAGAAAAGAACTTTCTCTTTGCCAAGGAGGATCGGGTTAGAGATCATTTAGGCAAACTTGACAACCACAAATCCATGAGGCCTGATTGGATGCACCCACAGGTGCTAGAGGAGCTGGCAGATGTTATTGCTGAGCCATTTTTTATCATCTTTGAAAAGTCATGGAGAACAGGAGAGATGTCTGAGGAGTGGAGGAAAGCCAATGTCACTCCAGTCCTCAAAATGGCAAGAAGGAGGACCCAGAAAACTACAGGCCAGTCAGCCTCCATCCCTGAAAAAGTGATGAAACAGCTCCACAGAAGGTTATTAGGAGTAGTCATCATGGATTCACCAAGGGGAAGTTAATCTTATAACCTTTTATGATGAGGTTGGGTAGATGAGGGGAGAGCAATGGATGTTGTCTACTTAGACTCAAAAAACGCGTTGAACGCAATCTCCCATAATATAATGACTTTGAAGAATTCAAGGTGTACATGTTTTTACAATTAGTCTTAAGTAATTGTATTGGAAACCTATAATAGAATTTGGAGGGCAGCACCTGTAGGGTATCCTGAGCCAGTCCAGCTGGCCTGGTAACAGATGGAAACAGCCCACAGTGCTGCAAAACTCGGCTCCACTCTTCAAACAGATGTTAGA